AGAGAAATAGAGGAATGAAGAAGGGGGGGGGAGGAAGGGGATCTGAGAACTGCAATGAATTTTGGCGCCAAGCTTCGGCCCGATCTTCGGCTCTATCCTCCCTTCACCCTTTCAACCCCACATGAAAAGCCTTCCCACACATCGGCTCCGCACGAGGATCCCAAGGATCACTCGTAAAACCCTTCCACGTTATGCGCCCATACTCGAACTCCTGTGTCATCTTGCCATCTTCAGTCCACCAGATCACACTGATGTTGATCATGCTCAGGACATCGCCCTTTTTGGACCCCGGGGCCAGGTTCTCGTCGGTCCCGGGCGGCGGGCCCTGTGCGAGCTTGAAGCGCACGACGTGCTCCATGGTTGAGAAGGAGCCAGGGTCGGAGCTGCCGTAGAGGGTTAGGGCTTCGACGGACAGGTCGGAGAGCAGATTCGTGAAGCCGGCGTTAATGTCGTTCCAGGCGTGGCCGGGAGCGCGGATGACGCCGAGGGCTGTTGTGGGGGCGTGAGCGGGGCCGATGGGTTAGAGGGGATGGGATAAAGGTAGGGCTACTGGTTGGGTGTGAGGGAGCTTACGGATGTCAGTCATGGTGTATTCGGGAGCCTGGAGCTCTGCAGGGAAAAGAAATCTTATGTCCGACTCCTTGGGTACTACGGAGTAGCTCGTGAGCATTTACTAGTGCGTCACGTGAAGAGAACAAAGCACATGCCTTGGACACAAAATTCGATTCAGCTGTTACATGGAAGCCGTTGCATTGCTTAATGATGCCGGACACTGAGGCAAAGGTGGTGGGATGCACGGTGCTATTTTCACTGGGAAAATCTGCAGCAATGTATCATTGTCTCTGTCACCATGTCTTGCACCAATCGAATTAATCATTTCACCTTTCATTCATATCAATGTGCGAATTCAGACTTCACTACAGAGTACAGCTACACCTCAGGTTGCTGTTTCTTGCGTGATGATGCGATCGTCATCTTCATCTGACTCACAGCTGCCTTCCAGTCTACCAGGGTCTTCCTATGCATGCTGATCAATAAGCTGATTTACGAGGCTAAGACCACCGTACTTCTGCCAATTAACATTAATAGATGCCGCTGTGCCACCCACCTTGCAGAACTCAAAATCTGTTCATTGGCCAATGGTTATGGCTCGCTCGGCAAGGATATTACGTGTGCTCAGCCTCGTGGAGGGGGCGAAATTGATGAAGCATGATTGGGAAAAGACTTTCTGGTGATTACGCATTTACCTGAAGCCGCTAGCCTGTTTGGACCAGAAAATTTGATGTGGTGAATGCCAACGTTGCCTTGCTGACTCTCGACATTGTGAGAAGAAGCTGGCTGTAATTTGAGGTGGTGGTAACCAGTCGGATCCCGCTTCTGAACGATGAGCACTTACATGGTTAACAACGCACAAAGTGGACGGGCTGCCGCAGGTCCTGATGCGCCAATAAGTGCTCTGCTATGATCCAGAAATGGGCCGAACACAAGCCTCAGTGTCCTTGCCCCAGGGGCGAAAGATGTCGAACCCGTCTGAGTCTGCGTCGCCGTCAGCGGCCGTGTATGATCAGAATAGCTTGGACATGTTTGAAGAAGACCTGATTAGTTTCTCTCGTCCCCTCTCAGCAACGCAACCTGCACCATTTATCCTGAGCAATAACACAGACTTCATGAAACCCTTAATACCAAGCCCAGAGGCAGGAGATGATGTTGCCTGGGATCTTGCGGAAGAGTGTAGTCTGCTGGATTTCGACGACATGAAACAGGTTCCGGCCATGTTTCAGCCACAGTTAGATGCCGCGATCCAGTCGCGCATGCCTACGGCCGCCTCCAAACCAGATTCGTGGCCTCTCGCTGCCCCTATCCAGAATTCAACGTACCCTTCGCAAGGCAGAGCAGACGCTGCTCTCCCCTCTTCTGCCACGAACTTGACCCCAATGAACGAGGATACTATGGGCGACGACGATCCCGAAGTATGCTGCGATAATGCCAAGGATGAAAACGTGCCGTGTCATTTCTGCTGGCCGTGCCATGCCGTTTATTGCGACGACTGCTGGTCTCGCCAAATGGCGCACAAGAAAAGAGCTCAGACCGCAGCCGGCATCCCCCATGAGAAAACTGACCCTTCGGTGGCCAAGAAGATTCGGACTGCTTTAGAAGCCAATCTGACGGATAAAGAGCAAGCGATGCTTCATGTTCAAGATGAGGACACTTCTTGGTTTGGCGCATGGAAGGATGGAAAAGATGATATGGTGTTCCAAGATTATGGTAGATATGCGAATCTGATGGCCGAGAGTTCTGCAAGAGAACGGAAAGTTCGCTATCCAGCTCTTGTCTCCTTTGTCGGACAGACTGGCGCGGGGAAAAGCACGCTGATACGGTTACTAGTTGAGCTGAACTCCTCAGCGAAAAAGCGCTTACAAGTGCCAGTTGTGGGTTCAATAAAGCAGCAGGACACTCCAACTTCCGGCGACGTCCATTTATACAGTGATCCATTGACATCGGAGGGCCGGAATCCGGTGCTGTATGCTGACTGCGAAGGACTTCAAGGAGGTGCGAGAGAACCGATGGGGGCCAAAAGTAGGAACAAGGATAGGAGAAAAGGGACTGGCGAGGAACACCGGCAGAGATATATTTCACGAAAGCCATCCGCAAGGTGGAGTCACTGCACTTCGGAACGAGAAATCCTGTGGGCTACAAACGAGCGGACGCGGAGCAGAGATTATATTGTCGGAAACCTCTATCCACGACTACTTTACACCTTTTCGGACGTGGTTGTCTTTGTGATGAAAAACCCTAGGGTGATTGAAGTCGTCATCGAGCAATTGATCCAATGGGCGGCAGCAGCTTTAGAGACTTCGTCCAATCAGCCTGTCCTTCCCCACGCCATCATCGTCTTGAATGCTTCGGAAAACGCAATAGACCCTGAACTCTGGGACGTTGACAAGTCCACTGCTGCGTTGATGGAGTCTGTCCGACGAGCAGTGCATCAGAATCACACTTTGAGGAAATTTGCCGAGTTTTGGAGACAAAGGGAAAGATCCATTGAATCAATAGAGTCACTTATGCTGTCATACTACTCGAATGTGAGGGTTGTGCGTGTTCCTGAAAAAGGACGTCCCAAATTAATTTTCGACCAATTGCAGCGCCTATACAAAGAAATTGCTAAAGCTTGTGAACAATCCAGAGAAAGCAAGCACAAAGTCAGAATGTTGCTCAATTCTGATGATCTGCAGCCCTATCTACAATACGCCTTTGACCACTTCTGCAGAGGTATAGACTTTCCATTCGATTTCGTGCAGGCTTCCTTTACCCACAACCCAATTCCTTCAGATTTTGGGGGTAACATACTGAAGCTAGCTATCAACATTATGGAGGTGTGGAAAGACAAGCTGGACGGACCGAGGATCTTTAAAGAGCTTAGCTACATAGTGGCCTCCTGTATTATGCTCGACTCTGCTCGGCATCGTACACTTGGGCCAGCCGAGAAAGTCTTTCCAGAGTACATTGAGCACTGCGACGATGCACTAGATGATTTTTGCGATCGTCACTGGCCCTGTGAACGCATGAGCAGTGGTGGACGCTGTGTCAATGTCAAGGCAGGCCACAATACCAAGGGCCACCAGCTCAAAAGCGGCCAGGTACTTGCTGTTGGAGATTATGAGTCTTCATTTACACCAGAGAAATACCGACTGGTGTTCAGAGATGACATCTACGCAGCTCTGGCAAGGCTCCTCCAGCGCCTGCAGGAATCCTTATCCTCTAGCGAATCGTCACATTTAGAGCTTGAAGAAGCAGCCAATATTCATCGCGACTCTGTGCTAAGAAACTTTTTCAAGCACCTCCAAGGACCGAAGGAGTTTATCAGTAGCACAGCTTGTTTCTCGTGTCTGGTCAGCACACCGGAGCATCCTCTTCCATGTGGCCATGTCCTTTGTACTCCCTGCGTGAAGGCATTCGGAACTCCACGTGGTAGGACCTTTGTTGACATGAAATACTGCCCCCTTCACGAAAATGAAGCAGAATCGTATTTTGGGTCCGTATGCCCAATTTCGATAAAGCCTGCGGCTGCTGGCGTTCGGATCTTGGCTCTGGACGGTGGCGGCGTGCGCGCTGTCGTCGAGCTGACGATCCTACAGCAGATAGAACGCGCATTTGGTGTCGAGCTGCCGATTCAGGCCTTTTTTGATCTCATAATCGGCACGGGAACTGGCGGTTTAATCGCTCTAGGTCTGGGGAGCCGAACTTGGTCCGTGAAAAACTGTATCAAGAATTTTCAGTATCTGTGCGAAAGAGCATTCACCAAAAGGAAGGGCAGTGGATTGCCTGGGATGGAATTCCTCGTATCAGCTTCTAACCATAGTCGGTATGGAACCAAGCCTCTCGAGACAGCGTTGCAAGCACATTATGGTAATGAAAATCTATTTGGTGGTACAAGACTTTCGTCAGATCCGCTTTCTGCTACCAGTCGGCCTACGAAAGTAGCAGTGACTACCACCACGACAAACGGCACGGTTGTTCTACTTTCCAACTATAACCGCACAAATGCGAAGGAAGAGACCTCATATCAATTCTATCGCTCAGAAAAGCCTCATACGGAGATAAAGACGTGGGAAGCAGCCAGAGCTACCTCTGCATCTCCAAGAATTTTTAGAGCTTTTAGTCACGAAGCTTCGAGTCAGATCTTTCAAGATGGCGGCATCTTTTACATCAACCCAATCGAAATAGCCATGCAGGAGAAACAACTGATCTGGCCTGACATTGCTGACGCACACCCAGACATAGTTCTTTCTATCGGCACCAGCCACAAGTCACGGTCGTCACGGCAAATAGCACCACCAGCTCGAATTCCGCGCTACACGAAGGCTTCCCAGGCCAAAAGGCTTGCTAAGCTATCTATTGACCAATTACAGAGCACATCCAACTCGGAGGAGATCTGGCGCAACTTTGTGCAGAACGCTCCCCTAGAAAGGCCCAAAGACCGATACATTCGGCTCAACCTACCTCTAGAAGCCGACCCACCAAAACTGGACGAGGTATCGTCAATGACAACGCTGCAAGAGGAAACGCAATCATATTACACCAAGCGGCGAGAAGAGATCAGGACCATCGCTGATAGGCTGATTGCCACCAGCTTCTATTTCGAGCTCAAACTCAAATCAGCCGTCGAACATGAAGACCATTCTGCTGTTAGATTGACAGGTAACATCCTGTGTAGATTTCCTCCTGGCTCGAAAGAAATTCAAGCACTCGGAGAGGCATTCCGTAAACGTTCAACTGATGCTTATAACCAGCAATATGCAGATGAAGACCCTTGTTTCGTTATCTCAGAGCGCTGGAAATCAGATGAGACATTGAAGGTCGTCATCGGAACACGTGTTGTTGAGAGAATGATGCGGGATTCTCATTTCCACATGGATCAAGTGACGTTCATTGTTTCAAAAAGGATAGCAGAGACGAATATATCCCTATCCTTTGGAGACTCACCCTCAGAACCAATTATGCATCCCATCAGTGGCTTTCCAAAATGTCTACTAGAGGAAGAGAGGAAAGTCCTCTCAAAGACACGACACTCTTCTGGCCTCAGTCGCACACGAACACCGACAAGAGCACATCATCGAGGTACCTGGACCTTACCGGATCACCACAAGTCCTTTGACCCGATCAGCCGGTACCAGCATCCCGACTATGTATTTCCCGGCGATGCGGACTCGCGAGCTATGTCCCAGATGAAACAGAAGTTTGCGCCAGTTTCAGGCGCCTCGTCGTACGAGTCCTCCGTTCCTAACCAGACCTTGCAGACCACGGAGCCTGAGTCGTCTAACAGTACGAGGGAGGCTCCGGGATTTGCGACAAACTGGCCAGAAATGGAAGAACTTACCCATCGGCCCCCGAGAGGACAACAAGCGGATCTTGTATACGAGCTCGATAGTAGTGAAGTATACGAGCTTGCCACCCCTTTCCCTTATCAGACATCGGAGCCATCCCCTGCTCCACCATACGAATAATTCAGGGGCATGGAATAGGTCCATCCCATCATTGTAGTGCTACAAGACGAAGCCATTGATATTACAGCCGTCCTTCCCACGAGGTTGGTATCATGGAGCCGATTCTGTGTATCAAACGCACTTACCCCCTTTGTGCGTACATGTTGTCCAAAATAAATTTGTTAGCATGACACTATCATCCTTCCTCTATCCCCATGTTTCGGTCCGCATCATTCAATGGTAAAGTGAAGCAGAACAAGGGTGTCCATGAATCCTATTGAACGCTGCAGATTTCTGTACATAATCATTTAGGGGCTTTTCTCATCCTAGGGTCTCGTGCTTCAGAGCTGAGAGACTGAATTGTTTCTGGACCAGCTGTCCTCAAGCCATCATTTCGTGTAGCCTTTACAGTGATCCTCCCGAAGTTGAAGAATTCACTATGGAGTGCCGGAGCAGCAGAGATTTTTCACCCCACCACCATCAACCTTCGGGTGCTCCCACAACACACACGAACTTAGAAGCTCTCGTACCAGTACTGATGCGGAGACATCTCTTCATGCCGAACCGAGCTGCCTCTCCGCCGCATTCAGAGCATTGCTAATCGTCTCCATCAACCATTCTTCGCTCTCTACGCCCACACTAATCCTCACCAGATGCTCAACCACCCCGAACTTTGCAGCCCACTCCAACTCATTGTAATGCGCCAGCAGAGTGTACGCGCAGGCAAGCGTAAAATTGGTACCTAGGCTCGGTCCTTTGGCCACATCCAGGGCATCATGGAAGGCAATGGCACATTCTGGTGAGACGAAGGTCGCAGATAACAGGAATCCATACTTTCCGCCTGGTCTCATGAAGCTGTCATAGATGTGCTGGGACGAATCACCTTTCGGGTAGAAGACCTCACTTACGGTTGCATGCTTCCGGATCATCTTGGCCAGGGTCTCAGCGTTATCGCTAGCTTTATAAACCCGCAAAGCGAAGTCGCGGCTGTTGGCCTCCATGACCAGTACGTCAAGTGGAAAATACGTATCGACATACTCCGCAGAGAGTGCGTTCTGCATCCTCTCATAGCGTGGTGATGTGGGATTCAGGACAAGAGAACCGCCCATAACATTGCATGCTCCGCTGAACATTTTTGTCAAGCTGGTGCAGAGGATGTCGCAAAAGGGAAATAAAGCCACATTCACAAATGTTCCGACGGTGTCATCGACCGCAAGGATGAAGTCGTACCGTTCTGAGAGCTCGTGGAGTCGTTTGAGGTCTGGAGATCTGAGAAGAGGATTACCTGGAAATTCCGTGAATAGCGCGTCAATCCTCACACCAATAGCCAATTCCGACTCAAGGGTCTCTATCTCAGATGGTGAAGCGTGTCCATACAAAGAGTATTCGAAGCCATATACCCTACTTAGGACTTTGAAAGTGTCGACGTATAGGAACCTGATCAATGAAAATGGTTTAGAACGCTATCTCGGGTAGTACGTAGCTACTAGGTCTTGTCATATGTCTCGGAAGGAACTTACCCAAAAACGGCGACTCTACAACCGTCGCTACGGCCGGTGTTAAGCTTCTGTAGCTTGTCTGCTATATTGCAGACGCTTGACATGCCGGTCGGATAAAGATAGACGTTCTCCAGGCGAACGTGAACAGTGTCGGTGGACGACAAAGTAGCAATACGCTTGCGCAAGATCACTTTCGCGCTGTCTGCCTCCTTGATGGGGAGTCCGCAAGGAGTAGAGAATGATTTCAGACGACTGTGTTGAAGAAACTGCGCGTTTTCTAGCCAGTATGTCGCATATCGGCTGGAGATGCCGCGGCCGGTATGCTGCCAAAACGACTTCGCCTGGGGAAAGAGATGTTCCGGATAGGCGACAGCATAGAGATCGGGAGATTGATACTCACGGTCTGGTCTTGTGGCCTCCCCATACTTGAAAGAGCCATTCATGTCTACGGAAAACATCTGGACTTGTGCTGATTCTGCCCTCTCTGCTCGGAGTAGAAATCTTCGACATTGTTCTGCGGAGCGGTAATATGGCAAAAGAATTGCAAGTCGAGTCGGACGTGCAGACGAGGTCGAACATTCACTCGTTTCCTTCTGCTCATCAAACACCTCTACTGAAATTCGCTCAAGTAGTTGAGTTGCTAGTTCGTTGACAACATGCGGGATAAAGAATCGAGGATATCCTGCTTTCAGACGATCCAACACCTTCGGATTTCGGCTGGCCCATCCAAGTGTATTCTCCCACGTTGGCAAGAGCACGCTGACACCCTTCACAACGTCAATCGGCGTGCTCTTGAGAGGAGGCGCAATTTGTGTACACGCACATGTTCATCACCAGGCGGCAGAGGGTCTCCCAAAACGCCTTGCATGTTTTGTGTCCGGCGATATTTCTATCTGACCGAGATGAAGATTGTCAAAGAGATGCAGCAAATCGCTTGTCCTACCTTGAGGTGACATGATATCACTTCTTACCGTGAATGTAACAGAGCAGTGCCTAAAATGACCCATTCTTTCCATTGCAAGAACAGTGAAGCTCCGAGGGGTGGCAAGCTCAGTTGGCTGTCGATAGTGGCTGAAGGAGCCATCTTTAACTTACCATATCATATTGCCAGATCAGCCCCCGTGCTCCTAGATTTCCGTGACGTGCATAAATTGACGTAAAGTGACCAAGGCCTATCTGGTGGTAGTAGAGGACTGAAGCCCTATGGGCGACTGAAGATATGAACAAAATGTGATTCGGTACCGGTCCATGGAAAACGTAATCTTACACGGTAATCCGCGGAGCCAGTCGAACCAAGCAAACTGATTTACGGAGAAACCTGTATTTGATACTGTATTTATTACGCGACATTACTAGTGGCTGTTATAGCACACCCTCTTCGAATTTGACTTCGTTACACGTCGCCCGTCGCCCGTCGCCCGTCGCCCGTCGCCCGTCGCCCGTAACACATTATCCTACATGTCTGCAACTAAAGCGCTGTAGCGCAGGTTTACGACTTGCATCTATCTACCTAGTAATGTTACCGAAGTCTGCTTCAAAGCACTTTGTTGGGATCTGCACTGCACAAGAACATCGAAACCACTAACTACTGTATCACATGCTGGCTCAAGGGCTCAACACCACACTTGAAGACGCCGTATTACAGCCGCGGTTCTGCAAAAGCCTGACATTCGACTAGTCTCTCCGTTCCTCACCCATCTATACTGTGTTGTATACGTGTCCCTGCCACTTTCCGAGGCTCAGGATCGACCAGATTAAAAAGTGGAGATGGCACTGGATTTCGTGCATGCATATTGCGGTCTATGTGCTTTCCGACCTTCTAACAAGGCTACTAAGAACCTTGTATCACTTGGGAGGGATGCTCTTGGACACACACTTTTTCATACACAATGGTGGTGCATGGCCTCTGAAGTTGACTGGACCGGCACCCGCACCAACCTAATGGCATGAAGTTCTTAGGTACCTTCAGCTTCTCACCCAGGCTTCTATGGACTACTGTGCCTGCGTGGCAGTCCTGTACGAAGTGTCACACCACTTTGGACTTGAAAGAGGATACCTGCGGGCCCTAGCCTGTAAAAAAACGCTCAAGCTCGCACCTCTTCAAATTATAGACTACTCCACTGGAGTAAGTCCTTCTCCCACTTGGGCATCTGATGATCCAAGTCAATGGCTGTGTCAACTGGAGGCATTGAGGAGAACGCCCCATTGCTTCAAAATGAGCTTGGACCAGAAACCCAAGGGAAGCTCCGTGAGAATGAAAAGACGACGAGTACCTCGAGACTAGTGGCAGGGATCGGCTTCACATGGTTGGCATCTTGGCTGTCGGCCTTGGGTAGGAATTCTTGCTTCCTCATACTATTCGGCTGGCACTGACGGTAACAGACAGCACAATCACAATAACATTATCCTCCACAATCGCAGCGGATTTTCACTCGTTGGCCCTCATATCATGGCTTGGGTCAGCTTACCTGATTGCTCTTGCCTCGACACAACCCATGAGTGGAAAGCTGACAGACGTGTTCGGGCGACGCTCCGGCTTTATCTTCTGCTTGATTCTTTTTGCTTGCGGTAATCTATTCTGCGGTTTGGCTACGACCAAAGCAATGATTGTCCTAGGTAGAGTAGTGGCCGGTATTGGTGGCGGAGGAATCAATTCCATCTCAACCTTCATTGCCTCCGACTTTATTCCTCCAAGGCGCCGTGGAATGTGGCACGGTATCGCCATGGTCGTTTACGCTTCCGGGTCTGGATTTGGAGGTGTCTTTGGCGGGCTCATCAATGAGATTTGGGGCTGGCGGTCCGCTTTTCTTGCTCTGACTCCTCTTACGGTCCTTTCAGGTCTCGGTGTAACCCTCTTCTTACCTGCTCGTGTCTCCACCAAACAGACAAGTCTTCGATCACGACTAGGACGGGTTGACTTCGTCGGCTCTGCCGCCCTAGTTTCGGCTCTCGCCCTCCTTTTGGTTGGCCTCAACCAAGAGGACCTGGATGCTGTATCATCGCACTACCGACTAGAGGTTCTTCTCCCTCTGGCAGCTGCAGCTTTTGTCGCCTTCGTGGTTGTCGAGCTCTACTATGCCCAGGAGCCCGTCATTTCTATCAACCTCCTCAAAAACCGTACCGTATTGGGTGCGTGCATTGCTAGTTGGTTCACGTCAATGAGCCTCTATTCGCTGGTTTTCTATGTGCCTCTTTACTTTCAACTCAGAGGCGCTAACACGAGTGAGACAGGCGTTCGTCTTCTACCCGAGCCCGTTGGTGGTGCCCTTGGCTCTTTCAGCTCAGGCATCGTCATGCGTCTTACTGGCAGATATGGTGTCTTGAAGACAGTCGTTCTTGCTACATGGGTCGCAGGTGCTACAGGGTTTGCCACCATCTCCATGAATAGTTCACTGGCCCTTCCGGAACTATATCTGTTCCTTGTTGGATTCGGCCAGGGCGGTAACCTCACAGTCATGTTACTGGCTCTACTCAGCTCGGTCAAGCATGAGCAGCAAGCCGTCACCACGTCAATTAATTATGCATTCCGCTCTACTGGCGCAACGCTGGGCATCACGGTAACCAGCGCCATGTTTCGCAGGCTACTGACGAATCGACTTGAGAACGTCGCCATTCCTGCAGGCCTCGACAGTGAAATTAGGACAGGTGGCCTAGGAGATGTGCTCCATCGGTGCAAGCACCCTGAGCAGGCCACCGAAAAGTATTGTGGCCACCTGGCAGATGGCTACATGCATGCTCTGCATGGAACTTTCTTGCTTGCGATGAGCTTGGCTATTGCTGGTTTCTTGGCTGGAATGGTGACCAAGAATAATCAACTGAGGACGAGTTTCGAGGATGATGAGGCAGCCCATGCTACCCGGATAAGCAGGGATAACTCATCCTCATACATCTTCGAAGACTGAATCTAAGACGTATCACCAAGCGTGTGGCAAATTAGTAGGTGCATATTTTGGCATTCTTTCTTCTCTTATAGAACAAGTAATACTCGTTTAGTTATCACCGTAATGGATCCGACCGGCGTTGCTAATACAAGAGGGTCGGCACCATCGGTCGTAGATAGAATGTCATCAATCTGGTCACCATCGTGTCTTCTATTCCTAAGCAGAAGCTACATTCACATCCGGCGTCAACGCACCCAACGTTCTGATGGCTGAGCAAAGAATGCTTAATCAGACTTTCTCTTCCTTGATCAGATCCATCCCTTCTTTTCTCCTTAGTCTCTGCTCCTCTGCTCTCTCTCTCCCTTTTTGTTGTGTTGTGATAAATGGTACTTTTTTGTGATCTTAATAAGCGGCGATGGAACTAATGAGGCTTTGGTACGATGAGCTGTGACAACGACGATAATCAATGTTTCGGCAATCGTCCACCGAGAAAACTCGGGGTAAGTTAGCAGAAACGAAACGATTTTCTAAATAGCTGCGTTGTATATTGCTATGGATTCTGGATGGTAGTCATTCGTTTAGCTCTTCGAAGGAGCCTTTGGTAATCATCTTGAATATCGAATTAAGTAGATCCGCACATCCTGCCAGATCGGGGAATTGGACATCTCTACCAGACCAGACGAGACGAGACGAGACAAAACAAGAGAATGACGCTTCATTGAGATCTGCATGATCGTGTATGGTGTGCCAACCTCGAAAATAGAGGCCTGGTCCAGCTCTCGTTCGAGGCGCGACGACCACCATCATCAATCCGCACCCAAACCTGTTGCATAACCTCAATCACAAATTCGCAGTCCCTTCTCCAGCCCTTGGTCCGGCCAAATACTAGGTCTGTAGATTCCCCATATCGCATTCAAGACACCGTCTACGCCTCTCCTGGCGCGCAAAACAATCTCCTTCCTCGTCTTGGCCGGTCACGACCAATGATTTGACGTTCCAAGTTTGAGAGAAGAGAGAGAGACACAAACAGAGAGAGAGAGAGAGAGAGAGAGAGTCAAACAAAACACATGCGTGTAACGCGTAAGCGTCTGATTCCAAACGACATGTCAACGCCACATCGCCACCTTGCCTGTGGTCCGGAAGATGGATGAAACGGGGATGTTCATATTTACGGGAAACACATGCGTGTAACGCGTAAGCGTCTGATTCCAAACGACATGTCAACGCCACATCGCCACCTTGCCTGTGGTCCGGAAGATGGATGAAACGGGGATGTTCATATTTACGGGATTCTGTCGGAAACAGGACTTGGGGGGTTTGGTTTCTGCTTTGCTGTGTTTGGAGAAGTTTGACGCGTGGAACAGTGAAACAGTCGCCGAAACAGAAGCAGAAACGGAACCAAGCGGATGACGATTAATTGCGTGGGTGGGAAGATGGATCAGCTGAATTGGATTATTTATCCATTTCACCACTCTTTGTGGGATGATCGCTGCTCCGGATGCTGTGGTCGGAGTTATAGTTATATCGGTTGGTATGTATTTTAGTTCGGTAGAAATCTAACTTAGTAAAGGGGTTGGGACTAAGTATCAGAGCTAATAGCTAGTATGTAGTAGTCTTGATAGGGGGGCGCGAACTTTAACCAGAGCCCCGCAAGAAACCGACTTCCACTTGGCTGAGATAAAAAGTATAGAATTTAATCAACTAAAACACCACAGATGTTGACGCTGTGGCCGAGTGGTTAAGGCGATGTAAGCTTTGCAGATAAATTCTCTCATTATTCTCTAATTTGTGGAAAGGCCCTGCTATTTCGCTCTCAGATCGGAAAGCTAGGCATTGGGTTTGCCCGCACAGGTTCGAATCCTGTCGGCGTCGTTCCTTTTTGGATCACTTGGACTTTCCTTAGTTACCGGTCCTTTTCTGAAGTTTTATTCTTGTTGTCCAACCTTCTTGCTTTTATTATTACCTATTTTAATTACCTTTCAATTAGCTCTAGATAGGTTGTAAGAGTACAAATATGTTCTAATAACTATTAAGATGGTGTAGAGGTTATCCAACTCTTATGCAGGCTCTATATCTGCTGAATGCGCATGGCTTCCTCCTCTTCTCTGAGACGTCTTGCTAATCTCCGATAGAAAGGATGTCCAGGTTTATCGAGGCGGGCAGGTGAAGGGGTATAGCGTTTGCGTTGCACATAGCAATTTGGATCTTCTGCCAAATCCGTCTCCAGCTCTCGGATAATTGCTTCCACATCTTTGACAAGCCTTGAAGCTGAGTACCTTGATTCAAGATCCTCTGAGATCAGAAACCATATCGCGTGCAGAAGTCGTTCGAAAGCCAATCTACCTAGGACGTGCTCGTTCTCTAAATCCACCAATCGCCGACCAACAGCGTGTTTTATGGCGACTTTGCCGCTTTCAGACATATGCCAAAAGGAGGCACTTCCGGAGAGCGTTTCTGTCGATCGTTGAGTCATGAATCCGGCGTGCTCTGATCCTTGGGGGAAGAAAACCCAACATAGCAATTCTAAGAAGACACAACCCAACGACCACACGTCTGCGCCACAGCTTAGTTTGTTGGGGTTCAGGAAATCAGGAGCCTCATAAGCTTGGGTTCCCCTCAGGAGTTGGTCCTCCATCGGGTCCAATGTAGTAGTATTGCCAAGTTTCCTTGATGACCCAAAATCCGAGAGCTTGAAAACTCCAAATGAGCTTCGGGCATCGACTTCAAAACCAGAATGTTCTCGGGCTTAATATCCCCATGTATAGCTGACCGGGTGGGTGTAGGCTTCTGATCTAGTTGCCGAGATTCGGCGAGTGGCGAACTTCCAAGCGAATTGAAATGGAGTACCGCATCTGCTAGACCATGGACTTGGGCAAAAAACCAGAGCACGAAGTCACGTTCCAAGGATGGGACGGTCACCCGGTTAAAAAAGGTGCGAAGGTTGCATCGAGCAAGGGGAGATGATATAAGAGGTATGCTGATCTGTAAAGGTTACCAACTGCGTCACGATGTGATCGTGTGGTCGCTTGCGTAACTCTTCAAGCACTGAACGTTCGTGAGAGAAGACGATTTGTGCATCAATCGAACGTCTGAAACGCTTGAGTGCAAATAAATGGTACTGCTGACAGATGTTGTGTCAGTGTCACAGAGAGCGCCAAGGGATTCCCAAAGTATACGTTACGCAACGGTCCCGCCTCGGAATCAACCTTCACTTTATATACCTCACTAAAAGATCCATGCCCGACACGATCGTTTAGCTCATCAAAAATGATTGGTAACGGAATGCCAGCTGGTACACTACCATGAATGTCGGCGTTGTCGAAAGAGAAAGGTAGGAATTGATACTGATGCACAAGCAGAGATCCTCGGCCTGGTGCCTTGACCCAAGAAGGTAACAATCTATCGTCCAATGGAAGGTCTTCGTCGGAAATTCCCTCGTTGAGGAATGCCATGAAATTACCCAGTGGGACGCTGGCAAGAATGCACGCTCCTAATAAGCGTAGCGCTTTGCTCTTAACTTCGACGATAAGGTCATCATGTTTGTCCTCATAGGGCGTCAGACAGCGTTCACACAGCTCTTTGCTGTTCCCCAGCAGATTGGAGATAAAGCTTCGTACTGAGTACAAGACGCAAATCTTCTAGCTGAATATAGGGCTGTCCCTTGAAATTGGCCCTTGTTGTGGTGTGAATGCGTTCCTGGATTGTCCTCAGCAAGTCAGAGTGTTCTTGAGCCGGCGTTAGAGGAACATCTCGGCATTCCAAGCATATTCTGTACTCTACGCTGTACGTGACCCTGCCTGGCGATCCCGTCTGTTGCTGCATTGCTGGACGAGCGTCTTCGAGCCCACGTAACGTGCGCAGCTGTCAGGAGGATTCTGACCAGTGATATGGAATACTGCTGCCGACGTCGGTGACCTGGGAAGAGCCTTTCGAGTATCAAGGAAGAAACTTTGATCCCAATTTCGGAAGCAAAGCGTCTGGTGATGTGAGGCAACTGAGATGTTTCATGGCGTTCATGGAGTCGGCAACCACTGCGGAAGCATGTTTTGGCTTTCCGAGCGATTATGTGATTACTGTATTCCACACCCACTAAATATCACCTCAAGGAGTGTAGTGCTGATTTTATCTCCTTGCCCATTTGTTTGATAGCTTATGAGTCAGAATCTGCGTCGCAATAGACTGGAACCGGGCAAGCAGTGCTGTCCAATCAATATCCGAATGACAAATGTTTGTTGAAACCAAAGGCGATAATCCGCAACAAACAAGGGTAGTGTCAGCTGCCGGACGAGTGGGACAGGGCTACGCCCAGAAGCCTTGCCTTTATTCAGTCGTCACCCACATCTTATGTCTTCGTCTGCCAGTAAACATACACCAAATCACTGGATAAACTGGAATCCCATGGCGGCCCTTCATACTCGTACTAACAAGCCACAGTGATGTCGATGGTTTTGGGCCCGGAGAAAGTGGCCACAAACTTTTGCCAATTTTCGTGTGCGCCCTCTTGCTTCGCCTTCCGGATCGCCTTCCCAAATTGCCTCCCGCCGCTAGGGTAGTATTTACTGTGCAATTGCGAAACTTTTGCGAGAATTGCTACAGCTTTGTTACAAAAACAGCTCTTGTAGCCAACGATATATCAAGATCATATAGCAACATGTAACTTGATAGTTGTTGATCCTAACTTAATGATATGGATAATTATTGGTATAATTTTGATGAATAAATCAGCAGACCCATGGTTACATGTTGACACAGATTTAATACCTATCTGACCACTTTCAGCAATCTAGCATAACCGGCAGAGCAGCAGTGATTCTTTGGTAAGAGTTTCGCAAGGCACAATACCGGAGGTATTGCCTTCAACTTCGGCTCTACTGGCTTTGTGGATCTGGCTCAAGCTGTTCAGATGGGCAATGCATATTGAAGTCTGAGTACTCTATACGTGAACCTCTTTAGCAGTATTCTCCGCTAGCCAATGACTCAGTTGGCATAAAACTTAGAGCTATGCCTGCTGGAAGAACTGGGTCGTCTATGTATTAAGGTCCACCAAAGTCTGACCAAGATCTGACCAGGTAGGCACGCTATGGCCTTGGATGACCATCCACTAGGTCGACATAATACAGCTGGGAGCAGTTCTTCATTCTAGACGCGAAGGTCTTGTAACTCAGTCAAGACCTGCTGTACATCCATGCCCGATACATCCACGGCGATGCATTTCTTGGCAAGAGCAGTATACCTTGATCCAATGGTCGCAGCAGTATCATCCGTATAACCGAGCAGCAGGCGCCGGCGTTCGTCCGGATCTGCTAACTTCAGCTCAGAATAGCTCTGCGCAAGCGGCTTTCAGGTTCCAAGCTCCAGCAGAAGGACGCCAACGCTGTAAATGTCATGCATGGGTGTATAATAGATTTCGAGGTCGACGCCGTCCCTGTTCTGGCGATCTGGATGACGGTAGATGTCTTCCTTCCAGCCCCAATGGCCGGTTCCTGTACTTCGGGCGCTGCCGCGACGGGAAAACTCGAACCCAACAAGGAAGGCATGTGCAAGGCCTTGTGGAAAAGGAACGTCGTCATGAGCATGGAGCATCAAGATTTTGGCCGGTCGGATAGCTTTGTGCACCCAGCCCATAGCATGGACGTAGGCCACAGCGGTGATAAAATCTTGAGCGATACGAATTCGGTGGTCAAGAGGCTAAGAAGGGATCTTGTGAGTCACCGTGTAAGTTTTAGATGTGAAAGGGGAGCTTACATGCCGAGGTGACTCCATAAGCATCTCGCTCAACAACTGCTGCGAGCGAGTATCATCAGGAAGCTTTGAGGCGATCAGAAAACGTTTATTGTCATCGTCTGTGACCGAAAGGTGCTCGGCAGTCAGTATATGGGTTGACAGAGAGTCTGCCTGCTTCAACACCGCGAAAAGCCGTGAAACTTCGATCCGGACTTCATCCATAGTCATCACCCCTCGACGAGAAGCTGAAGTGGTGTCGATACGATTGATCCAATGCTGTCTCGTCCGATCTGCATATGAGTTTTCTCCGGAGACAATAGAATAGTCGTCTTCCATTGTCACGGTATTAGTCTCAGACTTCAGCTTCTCCATACGTATATTTACCTTAAGGCCCAACAGCCAACATAGCTACCTCGGCTCGTCGGCTATCTCAGGAAACTGGTTAAGGAAACTGGTTTTGACTGGCACTGACATAAATACGAAAGATAGTATGAGATGCTTTGACCAGTCAGAGAGTTCTTTATCCGCATCTTTCAGGTCAGTTCCGACAAATGACCAAAGCAGCCTGCTCGATTTATTGTGCTTTACCCTTTCCATTTTGATGAGAGTATCTTTGAGCGTGATTTGCATATGTCTTATAACAGAATCGAAGTGATCACGTTGGCCAGACTCGAGTTCGGCGTCAAAGTCCCGAAGAAACCCTGACAATTGCTCCAGGAGCACGGTATGGTGATTCAATCTCAAGATCATGCTAGAAGTCCCCTTTTCAGCACCCGAGAGCCCTCTGATCAGCTTTATCAGGCGAGATATAATCTGATGGCATCCTGCTATGGCGCCAATGATTGACAGTGGCTCGGCCATTCTCTCAAGTCTGCGCAATCTGTAACCAGTAAGTGGGCTGCTGATCACGTTGGCACGGATGGAGTTAGCGACTATGATTCTGCAGCGAACCTAGGAGGAATGTTATTCGGCGGAATGAAAAAAAGAATCTCTGCGGATGGGAGAAGAATGAACGGAGTAGAGTAGGGCGAACCCCAGTCTTAGGCAGGAAGACATCACCCATCCGTACGGTGTGCAACGCTCTGCAGATAAGACTGTGACTGTGACCGTCAAATGCATAAGCCTCAACCAGCACCAGCTAATTATTTGCCACATCAGTACTTGGTGCAACCAGAAGTTTGGCAAGGGGCAAACTTGCGCGGTGCGGCACTGCTAGCTCAAGTGAAATGAACCTTCATACGGCAATAAGCAGTACCGGAGACAGGGCGCAAATCACCCAACACTCAGTGGAAAAGGCGCAAATGGTCCTGGGCTCGAAGTTATCGAAACGCATCATCGTCAACACGGGTTGTGTAATATTGTTGCTGGCTCAGCAGAATATACGCATAAGATCTTGGGAGGTGGAGCCAATGATTGTGATTGTGAGACAGATTTCGAGCAGAGAGCCAACTCATTCCATGCCCCAAGCCATTGCCGTCGATCCCCCAAAAGGGTACCTGCGGCCAAGCTTGCTCTGGTTTCTGCCGTCTGGGAACTGCAAGAGGCCAGACCGTAACTTAAGAAAAAGGTAGATGCCCAGAATAGCTTTTCGATGTCATGACACATGCTAATCTGTGGTTAATCATTTTTCTAGCGGACAACAGAATTGATATAAGACGGTGCAGAAACAATGACCTATAAGCTGGTCATTGAGGCTTGAAACCCCCGCTTCTGGAAACTAGGCTGGCTAGGGTTCCGGGCCGGGTAGCCGCCGCGGTATGCCGGTTTTGCCAGTTAAATAAGCACATACTTTAAGTGGACACTCTAGTTGTAGCTGAGTCAACTCATTCACAGCCTAGTAGAAGTCAGTGTCTGAGAGAAGAAGCACTGTTGTGGCTCATAAATGTGGCTGACTTTGGATCAAGCTGTGTCAAGTGTTAGGAGCGCAAACATTCATGTTGGTGCTGATGCTGCTGCTTTCTGGCCGAAGTTAACCAAGAACAGGGACAGACGAACAAGCTCTTCTGGTGATGCCTGCTGCGGACAACTAGGAAGTGGCTCTTACTACTGCTGCAAAACTACTTTTAGAGCACCAGAGTAGAAACTAGTCCAGATTAGAGATTTGAAGAGTGATATTTGCATTTGGGCTCTGTAGCCTTCAAGGAAAGCTCGAAGCTCGAACAGTCATCGTTAATATCGTGGCGGGGGAGGGGGGGCAGTTCCATAACCACCGCCTTGCTGAGGAGAATAACCACCTTGTCCTGGTTGTCCCTGTTGTTGAGGAGGATAGCCACCTTGTCCTGGTTGTCCCGGTTGTCCCGGTGGAGGTCTTCCGTACACACCTTGCTGCTGACCATACCCTCCAGGAGGTTGTCCGTAGCCCCCTTGCTGCTGTCCATACGCACTCTGTTGCCCATATCCGACTTGTTGCTGTCCATAACCACCTTGCTGACCATATCCACCATGCTGCTGACCCTGTCCGCTTTGCGGCTGACCGTAGGCACCTGGCCGATATGAACCTCCGTACTGTGCAGGCGGTTGAGCACCAAAGCTTCCTTGTTGCTGGCGAAGTTTGGCCTTCTCGTCTTTTCTATCATAAGATGGGTCGATGCTGCCAAGTAGAAGCTTCAGAAGCCAGCCTTCCACGGTAAGTACTAGGGTATTGTCGATCTGGGACAGCTCATCTGCTTCAACTTCAAAATCTGGGGCTCTGTCAGCAGAAAATACCGGGCGGCTCCGTCATTGAGTAACTTACTTGATGTGCAGTCAATGAGGTCACCCACCTCAGGGTGTTGGTCTAGCGCTGTGAGATAGTCACGAGCTTTGAGATCGTTCCCCACCTGAGCGAATTGGAATGCAATAGCCCCTCTTCCATAACGAGTTTTGGCCAGTCCGTCGCGTGCAAGTTTAATTGTATCCTCCACAACGTTTGGTGATTCACCAGTAGGTTGACCGTCTGTGATAGTGATGACAAGCAGGGGCTTGCGCAACTGGCCAGCTCGTGCAGGCTGAAGTAGCAGTGGCTCAACAATCCTCTTCTTGAGCTCTGTGCCAATTGGTGTCATGCCTATGAAGTTGACCTGCGAGACAAGGTCATTGACTTGCTGCTCACTATGAATGTTGTTGCCTTGCAGCTGAGTTTTCATGAATCGGACTTGCACTCCATCGTCATCGAAAAGAGACGCTGCGAATGCAACACGGCTAAGGATGATTTTGAGGTCTTTGATCCGCTCACCACCCTCATCAAAGGACATCGAACCACTATCGTCGATATACAGGACGATGTCATAAAGTGCCAGCTGTACAATGTCTTGTGCCAGCTCACGCCCGATTGACCAAGCCTGAGCAAGTCTGTCAACTTGCTGGGGTGCACGCTGAGCGATTTGATCGAGTAGCGGACTATTCGAAGGGTAGAAGGCGTGCAAATTCTTTTCCTGAATCCTTACTTGCAGCATTTGCTTGATTGCCTGGACCTGTTGTGGATTAGCTGGTGTCCCTGGAGCACTGCCGTACTGTTGTCCGCCCTGTGGTGGGTAGCCAGGACTACTTTGAGGCGGGTAGCCAGGGTTACTTTGAGGAGGATAGCCGCCCTAAGTGACGAAGTGTCAGCCATCCAGTAGAATGTAAATGAGTGAGTAGGCATGAAGACAAGCACGAACGTATCCCGCGCTTCCAGGAGCAGTTTGCTGATAGTGCTGCTGAGCATACGTCAGGCCACTTGGGGACAGCTGTTGGCCATAGGGCTGAGGCGAGTGTTGGGGTGCGCCATACGGGCTGCTCGGAGGTTGATTGTATGCATTTGGTCCTACGAATTGTAAAGACGGCTGTTGCCCAAACTGTGGGGGTACGAATCCTGGCGAGTAGGGTGGTTGAGGTGATGCGGAGGGTCTTGGAGGAGGAGGCGGTGGTTCTGGAACCTGGTTCTGAGAAGTCGCTAAGGCATTGTAGGAAGGATGTGATTGATATGGTGGTTGAGGTGATGACGGCGGCTGACCCGGATATAGTGCAGACTGTCTTTGATTCTGGTGAAACTTGTGCATGTCGGCCAAGAGAAAGGATAGAAGAAGGAGGCAAATTTCAAGGTGTATGAATGCAAGGTGAGGTTGTGGTAAGGGTTATTCGAAGGTGGGTCGAAATCAGAGTTGACATACAGATTGAGGAGGACTACCAGGGTAGGGCTGGTACTGGCCTTGGCCCGGCTATTCGTCATGCGGGTCAGTAATCTTTCCAGCACTCAGGATGGCAGCTTACTTACGTATGCTCCTCCGGGTCGCGGGCCACCGCCTGCTTGAAGTGATGGTGGCGGACCCTGGCCGGGAGGTCCTCCTGGGTAAGGAGCCTGCCCTCCCTGAGCTGCGGCGAGTTTTGCGGCGAGCTGCGGAAGACACAATTTCCATCAGTCTCGCAGACCATATCCAGTTGGGTGGATGCAGAGCATAGTGGGGTACCGCCATGCCTTCGGATGAGGTACTTACACCCATATTGACGTGTGAATATGTTCAAAAAAGGGGGAAGGAGTAGGATGCAAACGATGAGAATGGGACGAGGGAATGCTGCAAGATATCCACAGAGCGGAAGAGAGTAATTTGGACACAGTATTCTTCAAGAGCTCCAGCACAACCTCAGCTGAAAAGGGTCCCAGAGAGGGTTGGGAGGGGCAACGGGGCAGAGATTCACGCTAAACAGCTCCGATTGGAGGGGCAACAAACTCGTCTCGTTCCTATTGATCTTCGGGCCAGAGCCATTTTCTGCCTCTCACAGCTCAAATACCTCATGAGATTATTCATCGTGACAGGTGCTCGCTCTGCTACGTCTTCCAATGTTCATCATCACCCAGGTCCCATATTCCTTGATCACGACATGCAGATTTGTGTGAATGGAGCAAACAGCTCAATAGTAGGGACGTCCGGGATGTTTCCAAAGGTGCCTTTGCGCTCGCGCTCAGGGGTAAACATAGACAAACTTTTGCAGACTTAATAACCTAGCCATGATTGGGATAGAGGAAAATGAACAAGGCCATCCAGGTATTGGGTTGACTGACATGCTCACCCCAGCTCGAGCAACCTATAGTTTTGCTCACAATGGATTCGGTAGCTTCCTGTAAATAGCTGTCACTGGTAAGATTGTCTGCAATGGCTTGATGGAGAGCCGTGACTGCACATCAGTAAGAGCACCACTACGTGTTTCTGGTATGAGATTGATCATCTGCCTCTAAATTTGGAGGGCGGGTAAAACTTCCTCCTGGACACAGGACTCGGTAAGAAGTGCCATGAGAAAGACTGGATGTCTTCTTAATTAGATCTCTGTGATGCCGGTAGTAGTGGTTCGTGAATCTCACCAACTCGGTCACTTCAGAGAAAAATACGTCATCTAGCTTCGTAACGATCCGTCAGGATCGGATTGTGCATCTGCACAGCCCCGAAGTCTTTCTTGTTCCTCCTGTCCCTACCCGTGTGGCGACAATCAACAGAGAGCGAGAGCATTTGCTCTCTTCCTGAAATGGCTCCTTCTTATACCCCAGGCCAGCGGACTTCAATATCACAGTTCGTGAGCTTCACCCAATCAAAAGAAAGCATAGCAGCAAAGGTAAATCTCCGTACTATCAAGAAACCTCTTCCCCTACACAACACTCCCCTCACTAGGCTGCTCTTGCCTTGTGCGGATGGAAAATGTTTCTGATGAGGCTAGAACAACTACTGATTATTGCTGTTTAGCATCTGAAAAATCATGGTTGGAATGTCGAACAAGCAATTGATGCGTATGTGATCATCATTTCATTGTTAGACTTGACCTGTAATCTATTTTGGTGTCTATCGTTCTGCCTAGCCTTTTTCTCTGGCACCAGGAGGGATTGCGGCTTCACTACAACTTGACTACAACTTGGATCAAGCATTATCTTCTTCTCAAGATCGCTTAGCCGTTTGAGTCTCTTTGCTGCAACATCAAACAATCTTGAGCGCGGCCAGCCAAATAGCACCTCCCTACAACTACTTTCCACCTTCTTTGACACCATACCTCTTCTTCGACATGCTATTCTCTAAATCAGTTCCCTCCACTCAGAGTGCCACTTCGATGAGGAAACGCAAAAACACTTCACCATCTGGTGGCCGGTCAAAGGGTCGCCGCATTCGCGATGCTCGTCATACGGCCGAGTACGTTGAAAACAAGAATCATACCTAATGCAAACATCACCATCTTTTTAGCATTCGATATCCACATCCGGAGTGCGAAGTGCTACCTTGTCGGGCAATGCTTACTAACGTAATTCGCTATCAACTAGGTTCTATCAGAGTGGCGCTGCAGGCAACACATCTATTTCCGCGACTCACCAAAACCTTTCCAAGCTATTCGACAAGTACAGAGGTCAGACCAGCGTTCTCTACTACTAATCAAAGACTAACCACAATCGTAGATCAACCAAAGGATCAACCAGACCGTATAGGTATCGAAGGAGCTCAGAAATATCTGAATGATCTGAGAGTCGGCCTTGAGGAACTGGTTCATCTTGCACTATGCGAGCTTCTGCAACCAATATCGGTCGGTGAATTTACTAGGGAGAAGTTTATCTCCGGATGGAAGTCTGCAGATAAGGCTGGCACTAACCAATCCTACGACAACATCAAAGCACAAGGCGAATATGTCAAAACCTTGCGAAAGCAACTACAGACCGATCGCAGCTACCTCAAGCAGGTTTATCGTTACACCTTCAACCTTGCGCGACCCGAAGGCCAGAAGAATGTTCCAGTGGATGCTGCACTCGACTTCTGGAAAATGTTCTTCGACGCCGACAAAGGTGGTATTGAGTGGAACAGTGACTGGACGCCGTGGCTAGACTGGTGGCTGGAGTACTACGAGGCAAAATACAAGAGACCGGCAAATAAAGATCTATGGAACATGGTGGGCGAGCTTGTTAACAAGACTGCAGAGCCAGGTGGTGAGAACATGGATTGGTGGAGCGAGGATGGTGCTTGGCCTATGGCTGTGGATGAGTTTGTGGCATTTGTAAAAGAGAAGAGGGGTGATGTGGTGATGGACACTTCATAGGTTGACGAGCAAGGGGGAAAAAGCATGGGAGCATGGGCAGCCGCTCCGAGTACAGTGTGCTCGATCCTGGGAGGCTATGCCAGAGATCTCCTCTGCCACCAGCAAGCATATATCGTTCGTCTCCGTCCTTGGCTCCCAGTACCAGTTGGCTTAGACACCCTACTTACGACGTGCATCAACCCATAGGCGATAAATAATCGAGGGTCTAGCCTATCTAGCATAAAGTACTCTACCAGCCCATAAGCGAGATCCTCAACGGCATCGATCTGCTGCGCAATGGCCGAGTTCAAGTTTAGCGTTTTCCAATGTCCGGAGTGTTAGTAGGCTGAAATATGAAAAGGCATGTATGTTACAGCAGAAAGTAAAATAGGCAGGTTACGGTTACTGCTGAGCGGTTACTGCCGAGCGGCAGCTTGTGCACTACTCGCTAGATTGAGCTTAGCGTTGACGCGCCTCACTGTACATGATCGCGACTTTTCTTCAGCCCTGAGTTGAGTTACGCTTCCATCTTGGCACCATCATGAACATTGGAACCATGCAACAATAACATCAATGAAGGCCTATGGCGGTGGTGGATGTCCTTGGTATGATGGGAACTGACAGGTCCGATGGAACTCACCCATTCTTCCATAATCGGTTTATTCCTCACCGGGCCGTCAAGCAAGCTGAGAGAAGTGACAATGTTGAGACATTGTCACAGCCAGCCAACTTCGGTCACTCTAATTCACGCAAGAGAAAATCCAGACCACTGGTTGAACGGCCATCTAATACACATATGCCACAGCTCACTACAAGTTCTGTTCCCATGGATGCAAAGTCAGCTGTCCCTTCAACTCAAGAGCATAACATGGACAAAACACCAAAAAAGAAAGTTTTGAAGCTGAATTCAAATGGAAAACTACTCAGCTCACCGCCAGTAGTGCCAACTGTTGCCACAGCTGCCGAGACAGCCGTTGAAATGTCGCCCAAAGCCACTGGCAAGCGCAATAAGGCTCGATCATCACAGACAAGATGCCCCTCTTTGATTGTAAAGATCGGCTATGGTAGTGAAGATTCGGATCAACGATTGAGGGTTGGTAGTACCATCAGTGAAGTTCTTAGATCAGATCACAAAGCTCACGATTCCGAAAAACGGTCAACACCTAAGAACGAGAGAACACCGAAAAAGGCCACTCACCCTTTTTTCTCGGGACCACCGAAACCTATTGCCAGCATTGCAGAGGGGAAAGACAGTAAGGAAGGAGAAGAGCTAGACCTAGATGCATCTGTGAGTCCTACCAAAAGCGTTTCAAAGCCAAAAAGCCCGCAAACAAAGCCAGCCTGGAAGGACATTACCTTCTCGTCCAAGCGAAGTATAAATCAGCACACTGAAGCATGGCCAACACCATGGCCAACAGCAGATACTCAACGTGTAGATGGCTTATGGCCCTCTCTGGACCCACACTTTTCCCCTAAGATCTCACTCTTCCAGGCCTACAAGTCAAAAGGTCGGGCCAGTACAGAGATCTTAGCAGACGAAGATGTCCTGCGTCGTGCTACATATGCATGCTTCGGAGGTCTACGGGGTTCAGACATTTATACACCACGCTATCCTGCACGAAAGATTCTCTCGGGGGAGGACATGTCTCGTAGACTAGAAGATAAGCTGCTGCTGGACAGCATCCACTCAGCCACCCAAACGCTCAGGTCGTCTCTGTCGACCAAGCTGACAGCTTTCGATCAAGGGAAATGCGATCATTCTTCTTGGACCACAAAGTCAGCACCTTCTAGGGCGGAAGACGTGCTTCAACCCGGACGCGAAGCCGTGGTGCTGCGTGATTGGGTTAAGAAATTAACTGTTACATCAGTTGGAGGAGGGTCCCATCCAATGGAGAAGCCTCAACATAGCAAGCCGCAAGCACGGAAAAGAGGAAGACCCAAACGCTCAGATGACGTCGATGGTTTCATTGTTTCTAGTGAGGATGAGGCCGATGAGCTTACCGAAATCGAACAGTCTACTCGAGAAAGCACTCCTTTTATTGATGATATGAAACGGTCAGTCCTCAGGACAGGGGCGATGACCTCTTCACACGACAAGGGTCAGGCGAAGAACACTATCCTTATTAGTGGTCCTACAGGTTGTGGCAAAACAGCATCGGTTTATGCGGTTGCTAAAGAACTTGGCTTTGAGGTTTTCGAAATACACCCTGGAACTCGACGCGGAGCGAAAGACCTCCTTGAAAAGGTAGGTGACATGACACAAAACCACCTGGTCCAGCACCAGAGTGGTGAAGGCTCGGTGGAAGCGTCCCCTTCAACGCCAATTGATGATGTTGTGGTCCAAGATGAGATTGCGTCCGGCAAGCAGCGGACGATGAACGGCTTCTTCCAAACACAAGCGAGAGTTGCCCCAAAGGTCGGGAGAAAGCGTAAAGCTGTGGTCCAAGCTGATCAGAAAGAGGAGAGTAGTAGCAAAAAGCCAAGGAAGGCACAGAAGCAATCTTTGATATTGCTAGAGGAGGTTGATATACTGTTCGAAGAGGATAAATCGTTTTGGAGTGGAGTCATGTCTTTGATCAGTCAGTCAAAAAGGCCCATCATACTGACTTGCAACGATGAATCTACGTTACCACTAGATGAACTCCCGCTTCATGGCATCCTGCGCTACCTGCCACCTGCTGAGGACATGGCCACGGACTATCTCCTCACACTTGCTGCTACTGAGGGTCACGAGCTGGACCGTGATGCTGTCTTGTATTTGTACCGATCCCAAAAGCACGACCTCCGGGCTACAATCAACGAGCTCGATTTCTGGTGTCAGATGGGAATTGGTTCACGTAAAGGAGGACTAGACTGGATGCTTAATAGCAGGACATCTTCCATGGACACTGAAATTGATGAATCAAGGCCACGCGTTTTCAGCACACATACATACCGCCGGGGGATGGGGTTGACTCCGCAGCAATTAGACATGGATCCAGACCAGCTTGTGTTTGACGCATACCAGCAGCTGGAAATGCCTATTGGTACATGGTCCGCTGATGCAGACAGAACATTCGCAGGCTCCCCGACTGTTCAAGAAGCATCCTTCAGAGCAGATCTGTATAGCGATCTCGATTTATGCCAGCGGATGCCACCCGCTACCGACGCTACTGACCTCCAACTCCGCATCGCAATATCACTTACAACCCGCCTCTCCCCCAGTCCGCCAACTCAGAATGACATAGTATCCGCTTACGTTCAACCCGCTGTCCCACCAAAACTCACCCGCTCCACCCTGACCCAGGTCTTTGAGCCCCTAACCAACGAAAAACCCACTTTCCCACCCTCACAAGGCCGCCTCGCCCCATCGCTAGATTCCCCGACCTCTACCATCACGTCGGATATAGCACCCTACGCCCGGTCCATCGTGGCCTCTGAGCAGAAATGGGGTGCGAGCATGGCGGCGCCGAAACGAAACACCAGAGCGAGTGCGAGGCCGGAGGGACATTTTCCAAAGAGGATTAATGGCAAGTATGTGCTCATGACGGGTGGTGAGGGGTGGCAGGACCTTTGGGTTCGGCCGGAGGAGGATGGTGGGCGGGATGGAGAGGGCTATGCGCACGTGGATGTGGATGTTGCCGATGCCTAAGGGTGCCTACTCTGAGACTCAAGGATGTCGTTTGGCTGCGTGGAAAGGGGAAGGGTTATTTGCATTCTGCGAGCGGCCTTTCAGCATGAGAAGTGGTGCTTTGATTTCCTTCTTTCTTATTTTGAAACGATCTACTTTGCGGGGCGAAATGAAGCGGCGCATAATTGATGGGGAGATATTTTGCGATCTGTCAAAACAGGGTGAGCCATGCGAGCGAGTGGTGCTGTCACCGATGGACGCATACCGAAGCTCACGCCTGAGAGAGAGAGACATAGGCGAGCATGAGGCGAGCATGCAGCTTACCACCTATGAACGAGCAAGCGAGCGAGCTAGAAGCCTCTACTGGCTAGCTATCCAGCTCGTCGACGGTCTGCGAGGAGCTCGAAGCGCTGGATCTTATCATCTCATATCACCAAGCACCTTACTTATCCACATATCTTTAGCACAGCGCATATTTAGACAGAAAACCACAACTACCAATATGCATTTCATTGATACGAATCTTCACTGTCTTGGAGTCGTCTTTGTGCCTCGGTGAATCATAGCGCATTTTAAATGGACTTGCTGGAGCTGCTGGAGCAGCTAGATCAGGTGACCTGCCTTCCCTTTCGTCTCATCCGGAGCAGGTGTATCTCTGATCATCCACACGACTTCTCCCCTCATGCCCTGGTGCTGTTCATAATATCCGCCGAAGCCTATTGCGCCGGCCTGTCGTTTGGCAGGTAGAGAGGGAATCAGAGTGGTGGAGCGGTATAAGATCATTTCAGTGTCTGCCATGATCTGCCACGTTGAGGCGTGGAATCTCAGACGCTCACCTGCTACAGGTCCTATCTAGATTTCCATCTGATTGTGATGAGGGACAGCTGCCCATTCTCGTTTTCGAGCTGCCTCGTGTCTTCCGGGCTACCTGCTTATTTGGCGAGCCTCTATACGGGTGATTTTGGGAGCTTGCCGTATCCCGTCCTTCTTCATCCACCATTTTCCTCGTTTCGCCGTTGTTTCTCTAGATGAGATCCAGAATGTGGAGGTGTGCATTCACGAGAGCAGCTCTGGCGCATACATGCGTTGTCCAGCTTGAGTCCAGTGGGCTTGTTTCAAGTTCAACTACCCAGATTCTTTTCTGCGGAAACATCTCTTCTCACTCCTCTCCCTCTTCCTTATCATTGCCATCGTCATCCACGATCTCAATGTCTCCCCTCACCCTCTCTTTCAGAAATCCAATACCCTTCTCTATCACCTCCTTCGGTATTTTAACATCGGGCAGCCCATCCTCCCCATAACTTCCATTGGGAAGTATGATCGTTCCGACCCCCACTCTTGCTCCTTGCTCCCCCTGCAGCCCAGCAGCATCAGTCGGCGGTGCAGAAAGTGCTCGTCTAGTGACCTCATTCATGAGCTCTGAGAAGGCGGGAGCACAGGCGCCACTGCGGAGGAGTTCGAGTGCCAGGGTGTGGACACGGGATGACCATTCTGCGGCACCGGGAGGTTTTGTGGTGGTCGATTGGGTGAGGGTGGCGGTTAGGAGGTCGTTTAGGGTGGGGATAGAGTCGGTCGCTTGGAGGTGATTGAGGAGAGATTTGCGGGTTTGTGAGGGGAGGGTCTGGGGAGTCAGGAGAGTGGTACGTGACTTCTGGTCATTAGCGGCGTTGGGATTCGTAATCTTCGTTGCTGAAGTTGGGATGGGCGAAGAGACGTCGATCTGGGCGAGTGAAGACGGTACAGGGATTATGACGGTGCTGGATGACATTGTTTGGATCCAGGTCTTGAGACAGCATGCGTCTGTGCGCATTCAGATGAGGGAAGATATGCGGACTGGTTGCCTTGTCCTAAAGCTCGGAGAACACATCCCTATATTGGCGTTATCCAGCCTGCGTCTGAACAGCGGGAAGCTCATTCCCAGGGGCGAAAAAGGCAACTGTAACATAGTGGTGTTGACTCGGTGCAAAGAGAGAAAACATGCCAAGGCCTGCAGAGATCACTAAAGCCTGGCACACTGAAGCAATATCATAAGCCTCAACTTCTCTGTTCTGGTCTGCTCTGGTCTGTTCTGATCAAAAACCAAACAAGAGAAGGCATGGCGCCAATGTCAATCAAGTTCAATTCCACCAGTACTTTTCTGTCTGATCACGCTTAGAATATCAAGCAATTGGTGTTCTAGTTAGACCAAATGTCTCAATCATGGAGAAGCTACCTACACTAGAATTGCACAGAGTAGATCAGCATACACAATGGAAAGTTACCCCAGTTGAGTAAGTGGTATTTATCCTTGCGGAAGCGGAGAGAGTGCACGAGAAGTGGGTAGTCTTCACTTCCAAAAATCCCTCGATCTTGCATCTAACAACGGGTTCTGCAACCTGCTGCTAGGGGACCTATATGAAAGCGCTGGACATAGAACATTACAGATGTTGGTACGTACTTTGTCATAGATAATCTGGTTCAGTGGGCAAACCCTCTTTCTTGCACTACAAGTCTTTCCTAAGCCTTTTGAGAAATTTTTCCAGTTTGCAGAAACATGCCGCTCTGGGCGTCTGAAACCAACATTTCCGGAGTTGAACCAGTCTATCCGGGCATCTCGCATGGTCTGTAGCACTGTGGGTCTTTTAGAGCGAGATAGAGATAGAAGTGGGCTAGATGGCACCGATCATTTCACCTTGACATAAGTTGAGCCGCGTCTCAGTTCGTCGGATACCTACCGAAATGACTAGCTACAGACGATTCTCTTTGATAGCGCGCAATTTGCGGCTATGGGACATGAAAAGATCAGAAATCTCACTTATGAGACCGGAAAAATGCTGGATAGGGTATCACTGCCTTACCCGAGCTTCAAAGAATCCCAGGCATCCTCCCAATAGCGCTGCTGTATCATTCCCATTGTCACGATAACTATTCCCGAGCTCGATCTCTCTACATCCATCTTGACAAATCTCGGCCAGCGGAACATCCAGCGATGGAAGTGTCTTGATTGCGCTAGGACGCAGCGTAGATCCATCTGGTGCTTTTACATATCCGTCATCTACAGAGCAGAGTAGGGCAAAGCAGCGAGCGAGCGAAGATTGACAGATGTCCCAACCACTTCTCTCTCCCTCCATCAAATCAGCGTTCACAGCGGCTTCTTTGATGCTACGTGGTGACCACAGAAGATGAGGATATCAACGTGCTTCAGACAAGCTATTGATGCAGGAACGCTATCAGCAAGGTGGCACCACTCGGGCGGTGTCATTGGGCGGCTAGATGCATTCTCACTGTCAGACAATCTCAGCACCCATACAGGTCATTGTGAACGAGGGCAACACAGAGCCCGAGCCCGAGCCAGAGCCTCCTATTATTTCCATCTTCTACCGCCTAATCTAAGGCCATATCTTCCAACCTACGAATATAGCTGAAAGCCTAAGCTGACCATTCATCAGCCCTGCAGCCCATTTACAGCGTTCCCCACCGCAGCCGGACGAGAACCCCAGATGAAACATTCCCCTTCTCGAGAGAGGATATAAAAGAAATATGCACCGCGGTTCCGTCTTCTCTCAGACAAATTCCAGACCTCGCCCCATTTGGCCTGCTACAGGGTTAGGTACCGGAAGTGGTAAAAATATACTAAAAAAAATATGCCGTCTAATCTTTCCCATATATTTCTAAATATATGTAGCTATGTTGAATTGCTGCCAAGCCGCTAGCCCAGTAGTCGTCACATGACCTAGTGCTATGCCGGAACAGGCATAGCGCCACCAGCCACCAGAGTAAGATTGCACTTGAACTTGGGACCGGAGTTGGATACAACTTCGGCACAGGTTAACACATTAATCAGTTGATTGAGTGCAGACATCCATAGATAGCAGAAGCAGTTTAGCGTTACATTCAACAGCTATCAAATAAATCAGTCAATCAATCTAGAGTCGATAAAAATTTTTTTCTAATAAAAAAGACACTCCCCACCACCACAAGACAGAAAGGCTCATGATGAAAAGATGTTCCAAGTAAAAGCAAAGCTATATACACTGGTTACTCCTCGGATCATACCGTAACTGTACTGTACTGTACTCTACCGTACCATACTACAGCTGAAGGACACATGCATCACTCAACTCGTGACATGGTGCAGACAGAAGTGTTTTGATAAGAACAATGCAAACGAAATATGTGCAATCCGCCTCCCACCATATCCACATAAGTCTCAATTTCTTTGAATCAATCAATCTTTCAATTTTCTTGTTTTTTTGGGGGTGGGTATTCTCTCCTCGAGAACTCTAACCCAGACAGAGCGAGACCAGGATACTCAAGGTCCCAGATCAGAGTTTCCTGGCACCAAACAAGGCCTTGATGCCTTTCTTCGCATTCGGACTCGCTGTCTCCTCATCGCCTTCTTCATTCTTCTGCGCCACCGCCTCCCGTCCCGAGACCCCACCCCACTGGATCCTCGGTTTCGGACCGGGGTTCAACATCTCCCTCGGTCGCATCTGCTGTTTCTGCTGCTGTCTATCCAGCACTGGGTCTCCGTTTTCATTGGTCCTCACAGCGCCAGCGCCAGCATCGGCGTATGTTGATGCGGATGGTAGATTGTCTTCGTCTTCGCTCTCGCTCTCCGCCCTCTCTTGGCTGACTCCCAACGCAGCCAACCTCCTTCGCTTTTCCGCCGCCGTTTCTCTTTCTTCGCCTTCGGGAACAGCACCAGTTTCGTCTCCCTCCTCTTCTTTGCTACTTCCACTGACAATGGTGGCCAATTTCCGCCTTCTACTATCCGCCGCGGTGGTACCGCCACCAGAGTACCTGACCTTAGCCAGAGTGGAGCTGACGTCATGCGTTGGTATTTCTTCTTCATCCTCTTCTTCCAACGTTGACGCCGTAGTCGTTCTTCTCGGCGCACCAGGACGCTGAAAGGCATTCTCACCATTCCATCTCGAGTTAGACGTTATAGGTTTAGAAATATCGGTCTCTGCTCTTCGGGTATCCGGTCGGCCATTGCGTGAGGATGGTGGAGGCGATGAGATTGCTGCATCACTGGTAGCTCTAGCCGTTGAACCGGGTCTAGATGCCGGAGCCCCACTGTTGGATGGCGTGGCATTCGTTCTCTTTCCACCATCCTGTTGTCCCCTCGTCTGACTATTCTCCCTGCTATCCTGCACCGCGACACGCCTCATCTCGCTCTTGACATAATCGGGCGCATTACTAGCATTGATGGCTTTGATCTGCGCTTTGGGATCCATCTGCTGCAATTCCTTGAGGAAGTCAACGGCAGAATATCGACGACCAGAACCGGTAGTTATGCCATTGGCCTGGGATGTGCCGCTTGTGCCAGAGAGACCGTGGCCATGGCGGTCGATATGGGAAATGGTGACGCGGAGAGAGTCGTCGGCGAAAAAGTCGGCACTTTCTTCATGGCGGTCTACGCTGCCTTTTCGTGGGACGGCGGAGTCGCCTTGTCCTTCTGCTGTGGCAGCCGAAGAATCTGTGGCGGCGTTGGAATGACCATGTGCCTTGTCGCCACCCACACCAACCCAGGTACCCATTCTACCAAGCCCGCGGCGCATGTCAGCTGCGTTGGACATCTTACGCCAGCCTGATTGGGGTTCTCCAGGCGTCTTGCCCTGTTTACCTGGACCAGGCAACGTATAAGTCTTTATCACTTCTCCATCCTCATCTTCGACGATGATGGTATTGCTAAACTGATACGCATGGGCTGGACCTCTCTTTCGCTCCGGTGGCTTCGATTTGGTGTGCGAAGACTCTCCCCCCTCCTCGCCATCCTTCTGCTTGCCCCAGCCGCGCCAGCTACCAAATTGCTTTCTCAAATTCTTGTAGGGATGATCCGCTGCCTCTCCAACCGCTTTTTGAATATCTTCGCCCTCTGTCTTCGCATGTGATTCATGCGTGTGCTTGGCATGCTCACCACTTTCCTCATGCGCAAGCTTTCGACGCTCTTCCTCGATCTTGCTAGCCTTTTCTTCTGGCGATCGACCACGCTCATCGAATGTGGATAGAACGTTGCCTTCTTCATCTTCAATGATCATGTCATCTCCTTCTTCATAGGCTTCGACATCCGCACTCGGTCTTTTCCTGCCATACTCATCACGATCAGGGGAAGTGGATGAGGAGGCACTGGGCTTCTCAAAATAGGAACGCTGCTGACTTTCCGGTGAGACATCCGCAGATCTCTCGTCCGTCACATCCGGACCATCCTCAGTAAAGGTCTTTAGGGCTGTTTCGGACCGTCGCTGCGGCGCTATGGCACTTTGACTGATTGGCCCCCCTGGCCCTCTACCAGCCTCCCACTTCCTTCTTTTTCGGCTTCTACCGATCGGCGCCGTTCCAGGCTTCTCCCTATCATCTTTTTGACGACGAAGGAAATTTCCTGGCACGCCAGTCGGACCCAGTGTGCCAGGGGGGAATTCTAATTTCTCGTTGGATCCCGAGTCGAGGGAGGCTGTATCCACCTTGGAGAGCGACTTGGAATTGGATGCTGATATTCGAGGTAGACGGTCCATCCAAGATCTTCCGACTTCGTTGTCCTGAGTGTAGGAGAGCGTAAGTGTCAGAGTGTTGATGCGTTTGCCTAGTGTAAAGACTGCAATCGACGAACCATGGATAGCGATCGAAATGATGACCAAGAAACAGGTTATTGGCCATATCAGAAAAATCACATTATAGTCCCTTGATCCTGGAGGTGGTAGAACTTCAAGAGGGCTGGTGGATCCCGTTTCCAATTCGGCTCGTGCAAGAATGGCTACAAAAATGGCCCCAACCCCAATCGGTCCAAAATGACCAGCAAATAATGCTTCTCGCCATGTCTTGACGTCTGGAAGGATAGGCTTCAAAGCCAGCATGATGGGTAATCGACGGAACAAGATGACCAAAATCCCTAACACCACCAGCCTCCAAGGTATCATGCCGACCTCGGGATCATTGAATTGGTCCCATGGTATAATAGTACCAAAGTAGACAAAATATGACAGGTTGAGCAACAGATCGATTACATTTGAGACGTGCGACTCCTCCGTCTTCTCAGTAAACCATCCGTCGTTGGAGAAACCGACGCCTGCACTAAAGCCAATGAGCAGATCGTCCATCCCAAGCATACTACCCGACCCGGCACAGAATAAGGCCAAAACGAAGTAGAATACAAGAAAACTCTCCCGGTCAATCAACCCCTTTCTCTCGGCCAGCTTGATGGCATGGCGAGCGATGTATCCCACCATAAATCCGTAGAAGGCTCCGAATATACACTCGTAAAGAATGGTGTAGCAAAACCAGTAAAATGCAACTTTGTCGGTATCCGGTCGATATCGTGCAATGTAGATTGAGAGGTATATGAAAGGGAAGGCCATGCCATCATTACATCCGGATTCGGCAGAGAGAATGTCTCGCAGATGCTTGGGCACTCGTTTGGCGAACTTGCCTTTTCCAACCACGGAGGATGCCAGCACAGGATCGGTAGCAGTCACACAAGCTGCGCAGATCAAGGACTCTAGCCAGGTCAACGGTTCTATCATCCACCAAATGAACAGACTGGTGATAAGCCATCCATAGGCCATTACAGGGACTAGTAAAAACACAACCGATTTCCAGTGGCGCTCCATATAAGACTTCGGCAACTCGACACCGATAGCAAAGCACTGGACCACTAGGACAATGCGAGAGAACTCAAGGGTGATCTGATCCGGATTGCCCCATTCCAACGGGTTTATCAGGTTGGCAGCGTGTGGCCCGAAGATGATGCCACAAATGGTAGCCACCGTAGCTTCACCAATGTACAGCTTCTCTTTGATGAAGAGAGAACACAGCATGAACATGCTAGTAAACCCTCCCAGTATGATGTAGACCAGATGCGGTCGATTGATGGATAGATGATCCCAGGCCATGTTTGCCGCGACTGAACAAGCCACGCAACCACGGTATTTTATTTCTCCCTCGACAAGGGTTGTAAATGAAGGTCGTAGAAGAGGGTCGCAAGTCCACCGTATTGTTCATTCATCTGACGTTGCCGCTTGATTCCCAATCTCCATGGCTTTCCAACCTAGGTCAGAGGCTGGAGCAAGCGGGCTGTTCGGGCCCCTCGCCCGTGGTGAGGATTCGGAGATCGCGCTGGAAGGATGCCGGACAGGAGGTGAGATTCGTTGCGGGAATGAGTGTAGTCCATGAAAGAGGGGACCTTGTCGAACTGGTGGTGAATGAATGTATGGGAATCAAATGAGCACCATGGGCGACATCGATTCTGGAAAATGCGGTGGGGGTTGAGAAAAAAGAGAAAGTTTCCAAGTAAGCTACTACTATCGATAGACCAACAAGGCCAATTTAGGTATGAAGTCTAAGCGGATTTGCAGGGTCTGGGATGACGCCGGCTTCGTCCCTAGAGAAGGACGGTGAAAGGCTATTGATAAGGGCCAATCACACAGAGATATACGCAGTACCTTCTCAGCCGCTCCGTCCAACAACCTCCAACTACGTGTAACATCGTACTGGGCAAACAATTGCAAAGACCACGGCCCCTCACTCAGATCAACCATTTTGGCAAGCTTTCCATAAGGCTGACCAAGCAATGGTTGACTGGGTTTGCCTTCATCAATGCCGCAACACGGAGTAGATGGGGCTGGTGTAACATGATCCTACAATTGATTCTCCGCCTTCAAGTCCTGCTGAGGCGGCAGAATCACATTTGTAATGCGGGCCGGAACTTGAGTGACACGACAGACATCCTTGGCAATATTTGGTGAGGCTGGGCATGGTCTTGGCATGGTCCGGGCATGGTCCGGGCATGGTCCGGGCATCGTCCAGCGTGGGGTACTACTTTAGACATCAATCCATCATCACGCAGCCGCTTCAACATGTGCGAAACCACTACATACTAGGCCATTGGGCTCGGAAAAGTGGCAAAGGTTGCACCGTTATCGAGACAAGGCGAAGAGTTCAGGTTCACATCCTCGTGCTATATCAGGAGCTCCGAAGATAAATTTGCTTATTAGAAGTACCCTTGCAAGATGCTCAATACACTGCATTGAAACGCCAGCCCAAAGAATACATGGATTTTAGACAGACCACCTCCCGATTCAGTTCATTGGTCATTCAAATCATGGTGGGTCCTTCAACGAACAAAAGACCAGAGGCAAAACTCGTGGATTTTGAAGCCGCCTGCGAATGATCCCAAGGTCCCAAAGAAAATGTATTGTGGTCATGGCGCAAAGAACAGATTGACAGTCGTCTCAACTTTTTGCAAAAGCATGCCCCCACTTTTGAAACAACAAAGGAGAAATATGTCCAAAAACAAATGTATGTACTTGCAGGTATCTGTGCGGACATGATGTGTACAGAGTGCCGTAGTGATGTTGGTGCATGATGCGTGAGGCATGAGGCGTGATGCGTAAACCTAAATCTCAACCTATTCGCCCCTGTCGCATCAACATAGTACACCCGCGGACTCCGTGCGCTATCTCAGAATTAAAAGAAGAAGGCGCAGTACAGAGCGTTGGGTCTATGTTCTGATGGCAATGGAAGCGAGGACTCGATCTCTCGTTCGCGCTGCTTGAGTCTCCAGAGAACGGGCCATTAGACTGGTCACTGGATCACGTCAGTCATCACGGAAGCAACGTCGTGAAGGGTGCACACACCTGGCCAGACAGCAGCTCTTTCAAGCATGTGTGCTGTGTTTAGCAGTATCCTAGTCCCATAGCCAATGTAGTCGGGAGAATTGGATCCATAACCCGGCATGGATTTGGATTCGGCACTGTGCAATAAGTGGCTGATTTTGTCCAACAGATCTCGGTCTTCATCTTCCAACAGAATGAGGTTCGCAGCTTGGAAGTTGTCAACTTCAGTGCTGCCTATGATCCCGATATATCGACCTATGCGGTCCTGCACAGTGTTGATCCATTCCGCCAGCACTTGTGCACAATCAAATGCACACATTGCGCTTTGTAAAGGGAGTTCTCGTGACGTATGATCGGCAAAACTTACACCGAGCTTGTCGGACATGGCCAAAGAATCTGCCGCATACAAGGCCGCTTTTCGGAGATGCCGCTCTCGCAGCGCAAGTGACTCGGGCTGCTGCGTGCTATTGGGGCCGAGCATGGACAGGGAGCCGTCATGGCCACTGATCTTTGCCTGACCAGATTCGGTGGAGAGCAACTCAATAAATGAACCGCGTCGGCTGCCGGACGTATTTGTTGACGTTGTTGTATGGGACTCATCATAACTCGAGCTTGGGCTCTGGGTCACATCGTGGACCAGGTCCGTATCCAGAGCCAGTCCGTCAGCCATGGCATCGAAATCTCGTTGCCAGAAGGCCTCCTTTGACCGCCCAAAGTTTACGAACAACCGAACGTATGCCAGGTCAAGTAGAGGGATACAGTCGGCAGAAAGAGGACTGGCACCGAAGGGGTTTGGCCTTTCGATGCTGTGGGTGGGATTCCCGGCCCAGGCTGCCTGCCATGCGCGGAGGGCTGGCTCGATATGCGCATGCATCTGCTCCGTATCATGGTTTGTCCATTGCCGGCCCAGGTGTCGTTGTCTTGTCTCCCAAATATAGTTGTGCAATGCGTTGATCAGTATAAGACACCCGAAAGTGCTAGGCTTCAGATCACTTTGAGAGAGCGGTTGCATCCTGATTCCCAGCCCATATAGCGAGTCAGATGACCCCGGCTGATGGTGCTGCCGCTGCGAAGCGGTGAGAAGATGACCCAATGCAGCATTGAACATGATGGGAGGATCATCTGCACCGGCTGTGGCACTCACTGATCTCCAGGTAACTGCATTTTCCGCGGTCCATAAACTCTCCTTGCATGGTAAGCTGACTCGAATTTCCGAATTGGTTAACGCAGGTGGGTGGTTATATGCCGTAACTAGCAGGCTGGAAAGAATAAAAACGGCATACAATGTCCGTTTTCGCTCTTCAACAATTTTCCATTCCAGCCAATCAATATCATCGATATCATTTGTCACAGAACTCCAACCATTCGACTGTGGTTCGTTCATCTGGAAATCAGGATTGAGAGTGCCGTTGGTCATGACCATATATCCAGGGTACGGCCGGGACAATTCGGCACCGCGCACCAAGCTGACCAGTGTTGCACAATGGTTGCCGGCAATTTCCGCAGATGTTTTGTCCCCACAATTGTAGCCATATATAACGTTCAGAAGCATGGCTTGAACGAGCCACAAAGGAGTGGTCTCTGCCTCACCTTGATGCCTTGGTTCAAAGCTATTCCGGTTAAGATTTGCCCTGCGACGTTCTTCTAGAAACCCACCAATCATATGCTTAGCTGCTTCAAAAAGCTTCTTGGATGGTGTCATCTCATGTTCGTGAAGTGCGCCAATGGCAGTGATGGCCAGCATGAGACAGCCGCCCCCTCCGGAGATGCTATTGTGATCAAAGTGCGACTCCCTGTTAACCATCCTGGAAGGAATAGTATACTCGGAAGACTCGAAGTTCAAAGATGCTATATGCAAGAAGGGTAAATGAGGATGAAAGTATTGAACGTAGGCCGCGAGGTACCGTTGCAGATCTGATGTACTAGGAAAGTTGTTGAGTGAGAGAGTTTTAAAGCCATTAGCGGAATCGGGTGACAGTGGTGAATTAGTCGTAGGCTGAGAATAAGGCTGCTGGCCGAAACCAGAATATTGCAACAAGCTCGCTAGCACGCTAGAGCGAGTATGTTCGTTAATCAGATCTGTGGAGACCGTTGTGATTGAGCTTTGTAGCAGACCGCTATCGAATGATGAAGCTGACGCTGTTGAAGCACCCCCCGTTCTCGTACCGTCCGGCACCTGAAATCCCGATGCCACGAATCCCGGCAGCATAGAAGGCTGTTCTATGGCATTTAGAGGTGGCGGACTCGGCATATTCATCTCCAACAGAGAACCTCCTTGAGCCAAAAGAGACTTCGGCGAAATGGTGCCCTGCGGTGCTGGAAGCATCTCATTGAAAGTAGAAGCTGGGTAATCAAAGTTGCCTGGGCTTGTCATCATCTGCCCCTGCGGGACTAACGGCGCATTCCAGACCGGAGGTGCTGATACCGCAAGGCTGCTAAATATTGAGGTGCCACACTCCAGCATGCTGTCACCGATGCCATCGGGACTGTTGGTGTCCATAACTGAAGGGGATGATTCCTCAAGCGCTGATTCGTTAGTCTGAGGAAAGAATCTTTGATTCTCCATTCCTTGAGCCATCCAGTCAAAATGCTCTCCACCTTGCAGCATTCGACTATTGGGTGGTCCGCCACATGGGTATTGCAAGCTTGTGTCGTCCATGCTGCACCCTTGCATACCGCCCATATGCAGCTGATTGGGGTTAATGGTATTACCAGGGCCAAATACAAACGTACTCATGCTGAGTTCGTTTGGAAATCCTCCATATGCTGGCGCAGTCCGAAGGCCCCCAGCATGGTCAATTGCAAGTGCGTTGGTGTTGAGGCGTGGCAGAGTATGGAGTGAACTGTGCGTTGTGTTTGACAAGTCTCGATATTCAAATTCTGGGACACCCATCACGCCTGAATCACTACCTCGGTGAGCATGGCCTGCATTTGTGCTTCGGCCGGTGCTGTTAGATGTCGCAAGCAGGTCGAGTGTATTTGCATCAATATGGCTGAGCGTGTTTGCACGTGGTCTCACACCACTAGAGATGCTGTTGACTACGGAATTCTTGCGAACACGGCCAGCTCCGGCATTGCTCTCACGTCGACCTGTTCTTGGGCGTGAAGAGGGTGTAGTGGTTGAATGCAGCTTTTGCTGATGTCGCAGCAGGAGATCTCTCCTGGCAAAGCACCTCGAACACTCAGGACACTCGAAAGGCTTTTCTTTTGTATGAGACCGCTCATGTCGCTTCAAGTGTTCCAACCGTGCAAAAGACCTGCTGCACGTCGTGCACACATGAGGACGAGGCTTGTCAGTTTTGGGTGGAGGAAAGGCAGGGCCAGCAGTTCCATTTCGCCCGCTGGCTGACGACTTTGAAGGAGTTCGACAGACTAGATTGGAAAGGATGGAAGTCAGCAAGTCTATCTTTCTCCAGGCAGCACAAAGTCACACGGACCGTTAACACCATCGAGTGAGCTGCTGCTCACTGCTTTGGGAACATCCGGAGATGTCATTGCCAAAGTATCGTGGGAACCAGCCTCCTCATCTGGCATTCTCCGAGAGCGCAAATATTGAATTCAATTTATGCCTCTGATCAACAAACAGACCGTGTCGTAGGCTGATGCAAGACCGGACCTGAGTTTGCCAGAAGCGCTATATGTAAGTCAAGGTTGTATATTTCATCCGCTGCAGCTGCACTCGTCCGGGGCGTCTGTCTTCGCCTAGCTCCGCTCGCCGTCAATATGCTCTTGCCCTCCACTTGTAACGAAAGCTCTATGTAAGCGGAACTATGATCTATGTCCGCTCGTCTGAACTGCAACAGCGATGACCTGAAGGAAATGTTGTCTGTGCAAGACCGGCTTGCGATAGTACGAAATGGAAATCCTGGATAACGCCTGGTTCGATAGATCGGTTTGCCGAGAGTTGGCCGACGCTCAACTTAAGTCCAATGGAAGACAAGAGGAACTCGAGAACCTAATCAAGAATCAGCAATGAAGATGCGACTCGAGGAACAAATCAAAGCATACAGAACCTTCCTTTTAGCACTCTATAATCGACGAACGACGTTTAGTAGTTCGTGTATGCCTTCAACAGGGAGGTGTAAGTATTAGATAGGTTATGCAGCCGCCTTTGCACGGTTCTTGAGAGCTGCCCTCTAGTAACTGGCATCGAAGCTTGGATGCCTTACTAGTCAGTGGAAAGAGGCTTCACAAGTACTATGCAGCTTGTCTCCGAAATGTAGTCGCAAGAAACAACAGTCAACCTGTCTCTGGACTGGTCGTTGCGAAGGTGTCCGTCAGCATGTAGTCTTCTGCCGTCTGAAAAGGTTCACTGGAAGGCGAAACTACTGACGGGGGGTGGGTGGCAGTGGTGCAGTCCAATGCTTCGATCGTGTATGGTGATTCCCGTCCGGGAAAGGCGCAATAATGCTGGTCAATGCTGCTTGGAGAAGGCTGGTAGTCGATCAAGCGTTTCTGTCAATTGCTGATTCGGACTCTCCAGGAGTACGTATCTCAACTTCTTCTAGGGCGGGAGCTTGAAGTGAGTACACTTGTCTGAGAGAGCATCCCATAGCTACGCCGACCAGAGCTGCCTTCCAGCTCAAATGATCTCAAGGCTCCCATTAAATTCCGCTTGCTGCAATTGAAGTTGTAAAACGATACCGAACAGAGACGAGGCGCATGAAGCTAGGATATTGGCCCATTGGCTGGTCGCACGAGCGGCGTGCGTGAAATGATGCCGCTTGAGAAATTTTAGCTTGCCGGCGGACAAAGGGCTGGCTGGATCCACATGCTCATTGCACCAATCAAATTTGTCCCACTAAAGTGGCCACACCCACACACAGACAGATCCCAGAAGTTCATCCATGCTCAATTCCATTGCAGAAGGCATCTGGCAGGGGGTAGAATGATCTTCCTCCAGATTGCGATGTGCTTTGGTTGCTGTCGTTCTCTTCAGAATTCCGCGTCACTAACCATTGCGAAGATGCGGCGAACCTAGGCCCTACCGTTGTGGCTGTACAAGTGTACCTAGGTTACACTCATGCATTATCAAAGCCATTGTACTTTAGACGCCCGAACGGTTGACGGCTTTTCGTCTCCACACACATTGCAGCCAGACTGTCATGAGGCACGAGCACGACCCCGGCAAGACTTGTCCTTATATGCGTTATTGAATAACTATACCAGGCATTCTACTTAAGCAGGGCTCCACAACTCGGCCTGGGACCAACAGCCCCAATCTCATCGCAAGCCACGTACCTCCGAGCAGAATGACGAAAAAGCGAGGATTAATGTACGTGAATATAAATATAAATATCTTGTGCTCTTTCAATGTCGGTCATGTTATTTATCCAAGCTTGTAGCGTCTCTACCACTCCGGCAAGCTGTTTGAACTTTTATCTCGTGGTGCCTGCTGGGTTTTGCTTGCTCACACCTATAGCAGTACATCCCTGATATGTTTACTTTTGTGATTGGACCGGTCTCAACTCAAGCGTCATAATTTACGGCCCATAACAGACTACGTAGAAAACCCTGGAGATCATTGCCCAGGGTCAGGTAACTATGATCCGTATCCATGACCTGTGGTTCCCAACTGACATCTTCAAGCGAAGTAATTGTGCTTGCTTTTGCGTTCTTAACATTGATCCTGATTAGCATGTCTCTACCAAGCAGTAGAATTCTGCTACGTACCACTCGGGTATCTACCACCGTTCTTGAGGCTTCTAGACCACTTAAAAGCATGAAGAAATCCCGTCTGATGAGCTACGTAGTACAAGGAAGGTACATTGTCGATCAATTGCCATTAGCTTTAAAGGCCAACTCGAGCCACGGCATTGGCCAATTAAGAACCGTACATTATTTCGAGAGATCCACACTTTGACTAACACAAGCCTAGCAGACGATGACATCGAGGCTAAGATGCAGCCAAGAGTGTTCGCCACAGTGTGGACAGTAGGACCTGTAGACCTGCCGAACTCTACGTAGCTTTAGTAGAAAGAGCGAGGGCCCCGGGGGGTCATAAGACGGGGTAGATCGACAGTCTAGGTTAGCTTGGTTATACTAATGCTTCTAATGCTGTAGCTACCCTTACTAATGTCCTGCAGCTGGGTACTAAACTATCCGTGCTCACTTTGCCTTTCGTGGCAGACAGCATCAGCTCAACGCTAAGTTTGATGTTTCGTATCGCTTATGCTTTAGCTTTTGAGAGATGCTACGTAACTTCCGAGGAGTTTCCAGATATGGTCAAAACTCACTGCTGGCGGCAGATACAAGGGTTTCCGATCTATGAATTTTAATGACTTCCATATTTAGCCTATGTGCACTCAGAGTGGGGACGAACATCTCTCAGACTGAGCTTCAGCATCCCCAGAAACATTGTTGCAAGGTAATAGTCAATGAGTGTGGAATCGTCCTTGCGTAAGCGTCATGCTGTGTCAAGCTGTCAAGCTTCTGAAGCAGCCGTTTGGGTTCGCTGCTCTAGATCAGTGACACCTCAGGTAATTTACGTTCAAAAAGACGACTCCGAATGTCAACTGGTCTGCATTAGCCTGATCATCACTAAACACATGACCACCACTAGGCGCCTTTATCCTTTTTCGTGACACGTCCAAATGTACGATCGGCGTTCACGTTGCAGTCATCCAGCCTATTACTGAAACAATGGCACACAGGCCTTTTACCAATTTGAGTTAAGCTTCTTTCTTATTGAACTTGATACATTTAGCCCTGTCGACCAGTTCAAAGTTGACTTCGGAGGTTTTCATAGTATCGAACCAATGCAGTCCATGTATCGAGCTTATCGAACCTGCTGGGTAGGAACGGAACGACTTCGACGCTATCTACTATGCATCGCCAAGATCCGTTTGATAAGATGCAAACTATTCTACGTACCTATGCATGGCAGAAATAAGAAAGACCTTCCGGTCGGTTACTACTTATGACACCCGTCGAGGTATTGTGCCGCACGGACAAAATGCCAAGAGCAATGCCGCACTCGAGCCGCATTAAAAAGGGGATGCGGCTTCACGCATGTAACCAAGTTAGCATATTCAGCTTCGGACTCGATTGTTACATCCATGTAGCAATCAAAACTTCGGGATGTGGCAATTGGCTGCTTCTGTTGACACCTTGTCACCACACATATAGTTGTTGAGGGCGTCTCTACAGCTTAGGCCAGATGCCACTTCCATGGTTGGACTTGCGTAGCCTGGCGCTAGCTGGTTGAATTTCCTCTTAAATACTTGAAAGGGTGGCAGCAGGCCTTGACTTCGTCTGGTCACCCAAAGCACTGCTTAATACTTAACTTACCTTGCACGATGATACACCACCTAAGAGCTGAGATTTATTTGGAATGATATCTAGCCAACTACGTTCTTAGATGTTTAACACTGATGCCAGTACACCTTGGAAAACATTAATGGAATACAAGAACCAGACTCCCGATGCGAGATACACCAGTACACATCATCGCCGCTGGCTAGACCACGGTTCCAATTAGCAGCTGACAGACAACCTTAACCTTTTAGAAAGTAATACTTGCAAGACAAGAAGGGCCTTGCACAGACTGACAAGGCTACATTTTACCTTGGTGCCTAGATTCCCGTTAGACTGTACGTTGGATAGTTCTCTTAGGAGAGCGTTCTCCGGATTACTAACAGGATCTCCTGCAGGATGGCCAGACGAGGCAGTATACATCCTTGGACAGCAAAGGCTAAGAGGATGGGAGATCATGCGTTCATATGAATGAAAGAAGTAGCAAATGGATGAGGTTTGAATACCTTTCACCTTCAGTTCGAAGTGCTTGAAACGATCCCCATGATGTTCACTTATTCCATCTCAGCTTAACATATGTGATTGCTTCGCTTCCCTTCCTCTGTTAGAATCACTTGTCAATTATGTTGCGCTAGCTCCTTGACTTCCAAGGAAATGAAATAGCAATGTTGACCAAAATTAACACACTTTGACCAGTCACCTACTGGATGCGGGTCACACTTCAAGCTACTGACAACAGGAAAGCGTTCAAGAATATTTCATAGTTGCGGGACTGTGAATCCGGTGGCACACTTGGTCAGACCTCTCTCAAAACTCAATCTGGGAGACTTCTACACAAAGAACTTCTCATGCTACATAGCGCAGTATCGAATGCAAAGCTACTCAATTCGAGACACTATGAAGGTTCCATTCTCGCACAGGATGCCAATCCATACAGGAACCATCAAGCCATATCTAAATATCAATAAAGGTCAGCGCATCTTCAGGCATGATTCTGCTCAACGCTGCTTCAACTCTCCAGTGCGAGATTTGTACTCCGACGTCTACTTCGCCTTTGATAGCAAACGAAATGCCACCACGACGCACAGCCTCTCTTTGATTCACATATTACGACGTTACTGGGGTACTATCCCATAAGATTTTTTCTGGTGGGTCCTCCATCTGGTTAGTCAGCATCGCCGCCTTTGCTCAGACGCTATCCACCCTCGTTACACCCTCTGCTCAGGTTGCTCACCCACTTG